TTATCCTTTTGGTGTGGATCCAAGCTGGAGAGGTAGCCGTTCGGAGCTTCCTTTCTTGAACTCCCTTAAGATGAAGATGTCTATTTTGTTGGGTGTGGTACAGATGAACCTTGGAATCATATTAAGTTACTTCAATGCACGTTTCTTCAACAGCTCACTTGATATTAAGTGCGTATTCCTTTTTTCTTCTGTGTCATTGATGGTTTTCTTGTTGAGGGTATTTATTTTGTTATTGATTTGTTATCAGGTATCAGTTTGTGCCACAAGTGATCTTTCTCAACAGCCTGTTTGGATACCTGTCACTCCTCGTTGTTGTTAAATGGTGCACTGGATCTCAGGCAGATCTCTACCATGTTATGATTTATATGTTCCTAAGTCCTTTTGAGCCTCTTGGTGAAAACCAGTTGTTTTGGGGCCAGAGTGTGCTTCAGGTATGTGACATTGCATCTCTTTCTGTATGTATCTTATAAGGTAAAACTGTGATACCGCTAGATTACACGGTAGGATATGATGTAAATAAATGGACTATGGATAAGATTGTATACACTTGTATCCCATGTTTGGTACCGAGATTTTAGATCTATGTGACAAAAATGTCCTTGGCCTAAATGCATTAAATAACTAATGAAGAATAAGGACTAATTTGAAATGAAGAATCAGTAGAGGAAAGGCTTGGAGCATTCCACCGTAGAATTTTTTTCTTTCTACTTTATTTCATCATTCTTCACTGTATTATTCATGAATCTTGTATTCATGCTAGAATCATGAGTGGCTAAACTCATTAGTTCTAGGGTTTATAAGGAATACAAAAAACAGAAAATAAAGAAAGGTTGGTGGCAGTGTGTGTGTGGAAGGGGGGAAATGATCTATGGAGTAAAAACACCCTTTAATTCCTATCTGGTAACTTTGTCATTTCTCCCCTAGCAGATAAGTTTATCCAGGATGGGAGGTGGGTTTTTTCATGATTCTGTCCTTTATCAAACTCTACCAGACAGCCAAACAATGGATCATCTTTGTATCCCTAATCCCCCATCCCATAGGCCATAAATCGAACAAACCCTTAAATTATCTCTGTTTCCTTGTTCTAACAGTTATTATTGCAATTTGCAGGTAATATTGCTGCTTTTGGCACTTGTTGCTGTTCCATGGATGCTATTCCCAAAACCTTTTATTTTGAAGAGACTTCACACTGAGGTAGTACATTTGTCTGCCTTTTTCCTTTTCTCATCCTTCACAATGAATGGACTACTATAATATCTTTATGATTCAGAGAAAAGCATAAAGGAATGGATGATCAAATTTAAAGGAAAGGGGGGCACAAAGATTGGAGAGAACTCTTATGTAGGGAGGTTGGGAATTTTTGGGTGTTAAAACAAGTGAGTCAACAAATTGGTCATGTTACAGTCCTCCAAAAATTTACTTGCGCAAGACTGGTTTGGTTAATTTTGGCTAAATAATAATTTGTTTAATCATCAAAGTTAGTACTGTTTGTTTTTCATTTAAAGAGAGAGAGGGTGAATAAGTATAAGGAGGAATGAACTAACCATACAAAACAAATTTAGTTCTATTTTTGACAGTTTTCTTATGGTTATTTGGGCTACCTTATTGTGATTCTTAGAGATTTCAAGGCGGAACTTATGGCCTTCTTGGAACCTCCGAGGTGGATATTTACGAGGAACCGGACTCTGCCAGGCAACACCATCATGAGGAATTTAATTTTAGTGAGGTTTTTGTGCATCAAATGATACATTCTATTGAGTTTGTTTTGGGTGCTGTCTCTAACACTGCATCATACCTTCGTCTGTGGGCTTTGAGGTGAATCCTTCATTTTACTTGCTTATTCATAATCAACAGCAAACTTGTTTTGTGTTTCAAAATTTTTTACATGTCTTTGATGTTGATGCAGTTTGGCTCATTCTGAACTGTCTACTGTCTTCTACGAGAAAGTTCTCCTCCTTGCTTGGGGGTAAGATTTCATGTTATCTGTCTTGCTGTTCAGATTTTTCTTGTATTGACATTGCTCAGTGTCTTCACATGGGTGTTCATAGTAGTGAGTTTCAAATCTTATTCCTTTTGAAATGTCTGTTGAATTCATTTGGTTCCTGATTTTTTTCTAGCAATGGTAAGTATTTGGAGTTGAACAAGTATTCCCTCGAAACCAGCCCTGTTTTCTTCTGCAGCTCTGATTTGTTTAGCAACATTTCATCCAAATTGTTTCTGGTCTTATGCTTAAGTATTTTGCGAAGATTATATGCTCTACTGTATTCATTGAAGAAAGGCACAGATGACAGGTCAAATTGACATTAAGACTATGCCGAAAAGTGGAAGCATGAAAAATGAACAATGTGTCATTTGTACCATTAGTAAAGCTAGTGCAATCACCATGGTTTCTGCTCAAGATCTAAATTCATGTGTTCCCATGTTCCATTACAAATCATAGGGCTTAACTTGTAAAATTGCTTTGGTCTCACTAAACTCCACTCTCCAACTTTAACCTGTTATGTCTTTGATATATTGCCTTTTAAAAGCTCTTTAAAATATTATTCCACTCGGAATTATAGCCAATATACATATGTCAATTACAAAGATTATCTTAGACAATATGCACCCTCCTACATTGTGCCATGATTTCTGGTGCTTATAAATTATTATGCTGCACGATGCCTGGACTGATGTATTAAGGTTCTTTATGGGGCAGGGATTACACCATGTCTTGGTCAAGGACTTAAAACGTGGTGGTACAAATTGATTGTGTCGTTTTAACATTTTGCCCTTGACAACATCATAGCTATCAATTTTATCCGAAATGCTAATTACTTAATAATTGCAGGTATGATAGCCTGGTCATACGGCTCATTGGCCTGTCAGTTTTTGCCTTTGCAACGACCTTTATACTACTCATGATGGAGACCCTTAGTGCATTCCTTCATGCGTTGCGTCTTCATTGGGTAGAATTTCAAAACAAGTTCTACCACGGCGATGGCTATAAGTTCAACCCATTTTCTTTTGCTTCATTAGCAGACGACGATGATTAGTACATAACCCTTTTCTTTTCCTTCTTTCTGGGGAATTCTGCAGAGAAGAAGAGTTGCCATATAACAGGAAAAAAAGCCTGTCACAGAGATTTTGAAAAAGGACACAATTTTGGCTGACTACTATTGCTCACTTTCTTTTGATGAAGCAGCTGGTTTTAGCATAGAGTTGTAAAGTTGTGGCACACATAAAATTTCACTTATAGTTAGCTGTTTAAAGAAGAGATTTGTAAATTTTTTCTTCATAGATTATTTTACATATTTTCCCAAACACAAATGAGTCAATTATTTGTAAAGAGGGAAAGAAATCACTATAGTAGCATTTATCTAAAGTGTGTCATTCTTTTTTGGAGGCAAATTTACACAATCAGCAAATAGATGATTCCTTGTATACATTTTGTGGGTTGAGTCTTATAAAGTGTTTTGCTCCTCATCCTTAATCTCTTTGGAATCACCAAACTTTTGAATTTTGAAATAGTACTCCTACTATCTCAATTTATGTGACACGTTTCGTTTTTCGAGAGCCAAATAATTTAAGTTTGGTCGAGATTTATTCGTGGAATCTTCAAAGATAAATTTGTTTGAATTTTAAAATTCGAAATGTGTCACATAAATTGGAACAGAGGAAGTAATATCTATGGCCAAAAGATGATTAATAAGTATTATACTTGGTGCCTGTTTGGATAGACTTATTTTAGGTGTTTTTAAGCCAAAATAGTTTTTAAGCAGTTTTGAAGTGTTTCGGTAAAGTTAAAAAATGCTTATAAGCACTTATTTTAAAGAAAAAAAAAAAAAAATAAGCCAAAAGCCATAAGTTAGAAATCCTAACTTATGGCTTATAAATCATAAGTCAAAAGTCAATCCAAACTGGCTCTTAGTTTCATCTATAATCATATAGCCCCACTAAAAATAGTGTATAACGATTAGACCTTTTTGTCCTTTGAAGAAATTTAAACTAATTTTCCCGTGAAAATATTGAAATGTGAAAGAGAGGGTTTTCATTTTATTCTTTGTTCGAAGAGTGTAAATGATTAAACTCCTTAGTTTTTTTTTATCATTTGATTAGTATATAAACAAAATGGGGAAAAGGACAAATATATCTCGAACTATCGTAAATGGTATGCAGATACTCTCCGTCATACTTTTGGGACATTGGTGCCCCTGCCGTCTAAAAAACTAGAGCATATATGCCCTTCACTCTAACGGAAGACTAAATAGGGACACGTGATGCAATTTTATCCGTTGATAAATGTCGGATCGGTGGATAAGATTATGACACGTGTATGTTCGTTAGTATAAAGGGTATATATGCTCTAGTTTTTGGACGACATGGGCACCAATGTCCCAAAAGTATGACGAAAGATATTTGCATACCATTTACGATAGTTCGGGAGTATATTTTTCCTTTTTACCAAATAAAATTAATAAAATTTTAATTTGTTTTCGCAAAGTATGAGTATGTTATTGTAAATTGGATCATAACATAATCATTTCCCCTTTAGTACATAAAATTATATATTTAGGAGCTATTTTATAAACTATAATTATCTATTAGTAAAAGTTAAAATGGTAAAACTAAGGAAAAAGCCACGTAAATTCCACTAGGAGTCCCACAAAGCAAGTGGATAGGAGGTGTAGATAGTCCACTTTAGATATTTCATCTTAAATCTTCGTTTGGTACCAGAGATAAAGAATAACTAATCTTGAAAATATTTTTAAGATGAATTTATTTTATATTTAATTGGATAAAATCATAAAATATAATTCAAAATTTATATTTTTGGAAGATGGACATGATTAAGACAAATAGACGAGTAATTCATTATAATGTTGATTTTTGTGATTCACCTCTTTCCAACTAAGCACATAGCAAAGAGTTTAATCTACTATCAATAATATATTCTTATCCATTCCTTCCCGACTCTATACATAGCGAGAATTTAATACACTGAATCGTCTTTTTTTATTTATATATTTTTGATTCACCTATTGGTGAAATAAAAAAGAGAGGTAACAACTTAACTATTATCAAATTGTGTGAGGCATAAAATAATGTAAAAAACTTTGGTAACAAAAATCTAGGTGTCTCTTATAGGTGTGAAGTGTCAATCAACCAGGTGCTTCCCATATTGTTACATCCTTTGCTGTTTCACAAGATTTGTCATCATGCTTTTACTTTACTCTCTGCTAAATCCCACTACTTCAATTTCTATAGTTCATCATCAAGATTGATTAAAGAGGTGTAGCAAATGGAGAAACTGTACAAGGGTGATTTGATGGAGTTTTATAAAAGAGAAATTGGGTTTTCTAAGCCTAGAAATTTCTCTAGAAGAATTTCTGCTTCTGAGGTTTGAATTCTTTTTTTTTTTTTACCTAATTTCTTGTAGCTAAATACATATTTCTTTGGATTTGTGATTTTGGGTCTGATTTTCCCTTTTTGGGTTTGAACTTGTTGTGGGGTGTGAAAAAGTATGAATTTTGAGTAGTTTGGAGCTATTTTGTGATGAATTGTTAATGGCCTTGTAATGAATGGATAGAGTTTGATTAAATTTGTGGTCAAGGATCACTTGAACTGTACTGATGTACTACTCTATAACAACAACATGCATAGTATAATCTCACAAGTGGGTTTTGGGAGAGTAGAGTAGAGTGTACGCGGACCTTACCACTATCTTGAGACTTGGGAGGTAGAGAGGTTGTTTCCGACTCGGTTAATGATGTACTACTCTCTCCTTCCCAATTTATGTGATGTGTTTGATTGGATATGAAGTTGAGAATGGAAGTAAAAGGGTGGTTTTTGAAACTCGTGGATTAAAATAAGTCATCGATATTTGTGGGGTTATAATCTTATGAAGGAAAGTAAGAAGTTTGGAATTAAAAAGGAAGGGAAAGAATGTCACGTGCTTTGAGGAAATAAAAAGCTATACATAGGATTATCGTAGCTGACTCAACTAGCTCGGATTGAAGCTAACTGATATAATCGTGTATCAATTTACTCAAGAAGCTCTTAAAAAGACAAGCACGGAGTTATTGTATCTGGTAAGGTCTGGTCATTTTTTTTTTTTTTTTGATGACAAGGGAAACCCGCAGCCGCTACCTTTTGGGTGCGCACAGGGTAAAACCCCCACTCCTATGCAATAGCTCGCAAACCACATAGGAGAGGTAACCCACACTAGGCAAGCCCGGTGCGACGAGCTCGACCCAGAAGGCAAACCCCTTGCTTTCGCTGGCAAGGGGTTTCGAACTTGAGACCTCCAGCATGGAAGTCCCAAGCCCAAACCACTGGGCCACCCCGAAGGGTAGTAAGGTCTGGTCATTTTGTGGATGCTTAAAGTCTAACAATCATGATAGAAGGGCACTATCAGCGTGAATACAAAATAGTCGTAAATAATAACAAGAAAATGATGTAGGAAAGCGTAAAGGGTCGTATTGATTGACAGTGATAAGCTTCGTTAGGTATTATGCCTTTAGACTTAATACAATAGTAGACTGCTACCCTCTCCGTTTCAATTTATGTGAACCTATTAGAAAGAAATGAAGACTTATGAAACTTGTGGTACTAAACAAGTCAATTCTTTTGAAACTTGTAGTCTAAACCTACCATACTATTTGTGTGGCTCTAAAAGCTTCTCATTTGGGAAGGGGTCATTTTTTTAGGTAAAGACTGAAAAGGAAGTAGGTTCAAGCAAAATGGAACGGAAGGAGTAGTAATAAGTCTGAGAAGTAGTAAACAGATAGCATGCAATGAAGTTAAGTATTAGCTGGATGTGAGTGAATCCGATTCATTGTCTTGATAGTTGGCAACTACTCTTTGATACGTAGGAAATGGTTGCTAGAATCTTAGAGTTTGTTGTGGGATGCAGTGTCGTTGCCGTTATACTTGAGCTGATCCAAAATGGACTATGCAAAAGATGTACGATGATCGTAAGTGAGGTACATCCGCTGAGTGATAGTTACGGGCTTGCGGAGGGGGTATCAGTCTACGGATGGAATTAAGTTCCGTCAGTTTAGTGGCACATATCATATGCCAAGATTAATAAATAATGATGCCTTTTGCACCCACGGATGTGGTCTAGTAGTCAATGGAATAGATTGAGAATCACGAGGTCTCAGATTCAAATCCCAGTAGTGGCAAAAACACTAGGTGGTTTTTTCCAATCTGTCCAACCGTTGGTGGACAGGGTCACCCAATACCTGTGCTGGTGGGAGGTAGCATGTACCTCATGGAATTAGTCGAGGCGTGTGCAAGTTGGTACATACATGATTATTAAAATAATAATTAAGTTAAATAAATAATTACGAATTTCACATTGTGTAATGTCAAGTTTCTTTGCTACTTAATTTCTTTCTAAGTCACACTTTAGTGTGCACAATTTCATTTAAAGTAAAGGTAGTTCAATCTATGTTGGAAATTTGTTCGGTAAATAATGATACTATTTATCTTCAAATAATGTGATTTTTTTTTCAAAATGTATGAAGATAAATAAATAATCATGTCTTTCATATTCTGTGATGGTTAATAGTATCTGCTGCTACTTATTTTCCTTAGTCATACTTTAGTATGCAGATGTTTCCACACAAGGTGTGACGGTAATTAAAAATCTATGTGGAGTTCTATTTTTCTATATCTAAGATGTTTGACAATTCATGTACCCTAGAATTGTAGAAGCTGATATATTATGAGCCACTGAAAGCATTCCTTTTGTGATCTTGTGGGGCAGGCTATGGTCAAGCGTCTTGATTTATATGGCAAGTTAACCGGTCATGAAGGATGTGTAAACACAATTGACTTCAATGCCACTGGTGATGTTCTTGTCTCGGGCTCTGATGACAGAAGAGTTATACTATGGGACTGGGCAACGTCAACCTCAAAATTTTCTTATCCATCAGGTCACATGGACAATATTTTCCAGACCAAGTTCATGCCCTTCACGGATGATCGTAAAATAATAACTGCATCTGCTGATGGCCAGGTGATGTTCTCCTGTCCTATGCGCTATAATATATGGAATATTGGAGACAAAAGATGTAGAACAAATGTTTTATTGAAGAGGTCTACTGTCTGTTGCTGTTATGATTTCTACCTAATGGGGGAGTTCTCTTGTTGATAATATAACCAAATTCATGGTCTTAATAACAAAGAACTCGTAGCGAGTGTCAATAAATTGGGGATTTAAATAAAAAGGAGGGGTCCTTTCATATTGTGGAAGACGTCATGCATTCTAGAGATATTCAATAGTTACCTACTGGCAACATTACGGCATCCTCTGTGCTTCTTTTGGCTATCCTCTCAACTACATAACCGTGATTTGTGCAATCTGTTCCGAACACTTGGTTGTTTATAATTTTCTTCCATTAATATCAGTATTAGTTGATCTACTCCCTAAACATAGTAACTTCCTTGAATAGTTCTGGCAGTAGTCTTTAGTGACATTTTCTTTTTTCCTCGTATTAATTTATACCCATATTTTATCTGCATATAATACGTGTACATCCATCTGTAGTTTCTGTATTATTAAGCAATAGTTTTGACCTGCTGATTTGGTAGTTGAGAGGTGTCTCACTTATTCTTCCATACTAGCAGTCATAGTATTATTCTTGTAGTTGCTTGTTCTTCGATTTTTTGTTACTATCTATTGTTTCTTTAACTTCGATTTCTATTACTATTTGTTGTTTCTACTTTCTTATACTTCGATTATAGTATTCTTATATTGTAGTTATTGTTCCCTTTTTTCAGAATATTTTGTCATGCTATTTTTAATATTTTGTCGTGGCTTCTTCACTTCTGATATTTCTTTTCCCGAATTGCTTTGATATACTTGTCCTTGAGCTGAGGGTCTATCAGAAAAAACCTCTCTACCTCTCTACCTCTCAAGGTAGGGGTAAGGTCTGCGTACACACTACCCACCCCACTCCCCAAACCCCACTTGTGGGATTGCACTGGGTATGTTGTTGTTGTTGTAGTTAGACCTGTCGAGTTTGCCTCTTCATATTCCTAATTTGTCAAAAGGTCAAAGACGATGATTGTGGCTCGACTCGTATGTGCTTATTTTTGATGTATTGCAAATACTGCTGCAGGTGAGACTTGGTTTGGTGCTGGAGAATGGTCGGGTAGAAACAAAAAAAGTAGGTAAGCACCAAGGTCGTGTACATAAGCTTGCTGTGGAACCAGGAAGTCCCTACATACTTTATAGCTGTGGTGAAGATGGTTTTGTTCAACACGTAGGTTGCCACATGCGGTACCTTGTTACATTGTTCTCTTTTCCCATGTTAATTTTCCATGACTTGCATTATTTTGCAGTATGATCTGCGAAGTAGTTCTTCCTCAAAGCTTTTACGCTGCTCTTCATTCACGGAAAACAATAAGCAGTCAGGCAGCATAAGGTTGAATGCCATAGTGATAGACCCAAGAAATCCAAATTATTTTGCTGTAGGAGGTTCCGATGAATATGCCCGTGTATATGACATCAGAATGTACCAGCTGGATGCAAGAACCAGTTCCGATAGGCCAATCGACACATTTTGTCCCCATCACCTGATTAAGACACACGATGTTCACATTACAGCACTGGCTTACTCAAACACAAGTGAATTGCTGGTTTCATACAACGACGAACTGATATACTTGTTTCAGAAGGACATGGGGTTGGGTCCAGTTCCTTTGTCGTTGCAAGGTGAAGATTTGAACAAGCTAGAAAAGCCACAAGTTTATTCAGGGCATAGAAATTCACAAACAGTTAAAGGAGTGAGTTTCTTTGGTCCCACTGACGAATATGTGCTGACCGGGTCTGATTGTGGGCATATATTTATCTGGAAGAAAAAGGACACCAAGCTTGTCCGCGTGATGGTTGGTGATCGACACATTGTAAATCAGCTGAAGCCCCATCCTTGTATCCCTGTTCTTGCTACATGTGGAATTGAAAAGACCATAAAGCTTTGGGCTCCAACATCTAAGGATGTTACTCCTTTGCCTCCTGATGTTCAAGAGGTGCAAATCTTAGTAGTTCTCTTAGAAGTTTTCATGTTTGAATATCTATAGTTAAGGTTCGTCATGTTGTCTATAGGGGCGGAGCCAAGTAAGGCCGAGGGGGTTCGGAAAATTACATTGTTTATACGTGGTTAAATTTTCTGTTCATGTAGATATAGTAGATGTTCAACCCCCTTTGGCGTCTTCTTTTGCTTACTTCTTTGACCAACTCTTACGATTTCATTGCTTTGTCTTGATGTGAGCAGATAATGGAAGCTAATAGGCGTGGTCGAGAGGACCATTCACGGGTAACACTCACCCCGGACATGATAATGCATGTTTTACGTCTGCACAGGAGGCAAGCACTGGCTTATATTGAGAGACGAGAGAATTTGGGTGATGTCGACAGTGATGATGATGATGATGACGGAGGAGGAGGCGCTTACGTGTTGGGGTTTTCAGATGGTGAGGAGGGGGAAAATTCCGAATGCAGCATTAGCTAGTCATCATACTCTTATTACCCACCAGCGCGATTTTCTTCGTTCACTTTGTGCCACTTTGCTGAGGCCATTTTTACATGATGGTGCTTGCTTCCAATTCTCAACAAACATGGTTAATAAGGTGAGTGGTGTCATCTGTAGCCACTTACCAAATTGAATAGTTCAATCTGTAAATTCTTCTATCCTATATGCTGACATGTAAGAAGTAATGGTTTAATCTTTTAGACAATTGTTCCCTTTTCTGTGAACTTCATTATCTGGTGTCAATTTAACTTCAAAGCTACTATATAATGGTGTGTTCTAACTAACGCTAAGGGGTCGTTTGGTGTGAAGGATAAAAATAAATAGTGATGGGATAAAATGTTTGTATCTTGTTTGGTTGCCATGTTTGGAATAACTTATCCCACCATTTATATCATAGTGATGGAATAAGTTATCTCATATACATGGTGAGATAAGTTATCCCAGGATAGCTAACCCCAGGATAACTAATCCTGGGATAACTTGTTCCCAACCAAACGACCCCTAGTGTTTAGTTACCATGCCCCAAAAGCCCCATGTCTTTCTTGGTTGGATAAACGAACTCGAAGTTAGATTAGCGGAATGCAACTTCTTGACCGATGAGCTTTGAGAAAAGCGTGCAAAGCACACTAATCTAACTCAATGATGGACTTTTTATGGGGATTCATGATGCAATCAAATATAAACCTATTTTTTTGTTCTACTACAATATGTAGTATATTCTTTCCCTCTTCATCTATGGTTTCTATTGTTTGACATAGTTCTAATTAACGAGTCTTGGTGTAGTTGATCTCAGGCTGGTGGTGTGGAGACAAATCTTGGAGTCTAAAAGATTTAGGTAGAGTAGGGCCAAACTCAAATTGGATGCCAAACTCAAATTGTAAGTTTTTGCACATCAATGATCAATGGAGTTATTTTTTAAAAAAAAGGTAGAGCAGGGCCAAAAGTAAATACTTGAAGTGCAAGTTTAGTGACTTACTACATGCAGTTAGCTTGGCATGAAAGTGAGATTGGATACACAAATCATCCCTAAGAGAGGAAGAATCAAGTATTTTAGGTCTTTAACTAATAAATCCAAGAAAATGGATAATCGATGATGATGTCACACATCGTATTGGTGCAAGGTGGATGAAATAGAGACTCGACTATGAAGTCTTGTACGATAAGAATGTACTATCAAAACTTAAAGGTAAATTTTACAAAGCAACGCATAGACCAAGTATGTTGTGTGGAACAAAGTATTGGCCAGTTAAAAACTCTCATATTCAGAAAACAAAAATTTCAAAAATAAGAGTATTGAGATGGATGTGTGGGTATATATATTGAGAAAGATTAGATTACAGAAACAAAGAAATTTGGGACACAGTTGGAGTGACCTCTGTAGTGTGAACAAAATAAGAGAAGCAAGACTGAGATGATTTAGAAATGTGAAAAGGAGATGCATCAATATCCCAACATAATAAGGAGGTGTAAGAGATTGACAGTGATGAATATAAGCAGAGGTAGAAATAGGCCAAATCAGATACATGGAATAGTCTGACCAGATACATGACAGAACCATCTCACATACACGGAATGAAAAATACTACAAAATTGAAGGAGAATTCTTATTAATTCCAACAAAATACATAGATAAAAATGCAACACATCTTGCAAACTACACCTTTTTTACATTACATATTTGTTCCCTTTAAAAAGAAAGGAATAATGAAGGAAATAGTAGACATAATCAAAGACAATATAACATACATCTAAAACTATTAAACCCATATACCACCCAAGACACATTAAAAGAAAAACTAACCACCACACATCTTTGTCCATAAATATATTCTCAACATTAAGAGCTTGTACACAACCTAAAACTGTGAATGCTGTTGAATAATAAACAGAAATAATGATTGTGCAATACTTGATTGGCAAAGCAATGCAGAAATCATCAGAATCAAATTTTGAGAGTAGTACTGATAACACAGTTCCCATTGTGAAGACTGAATCATAAAGTGCTGCACCTATGAAAAACATCAACATCCATAACTCTGAATATTGTGGTTTTGATAAGAGAATAGGTAGTCCAGATTTGTCATCAAAGCCTCCTGGGATTGTAAAAACCGCGGCGAAGTTGATTGTGCATAGAAGTGTTGATAGAATGAGAGCTGGATTTGCTAAATCTTTGATTGATTTCTCTGCTTCTATGCATACATTTGAATGATTTTGATCAAATAGCTCTTTTGGAGTCATGTTTTTATCATCCTTCATTGTCCATAAACGTGGATGAACACAATATTTTACACGCTTCACAAAAAATATCATTCATTGTAAGCCAATATAACAAATAAAGGTTTCATTCATTGTAAGCCAATGTAACAAATAAAGGTTTTAGTGATTCTGGATGAAATGACATTAATGATATTTTTTTGCGGCAAAGATAAATATATTGCCACTAAATGTAATTTCTTGTTGTAGTGAGCTAAGTGACGATGAAGGTGTAATTTGTCTGATTTTTGAATCTTATGGTTATAAACTAAATATATGTAGAATGTAATAACATGCATTTCATTTAATCGTGTGGTCTTAAATATGTCACATGGAAAGTTGGAATTAAATAGTTGGCAAAAAAAAGTAAGACAAACAAATTAAAACGGAGCGAGTAAATTTTAGGTATAATACATAAATATGTTCTTTTAACTTGGTTTTAACTAACATACATGTCCTCCAACTTTAGGTGTGCACAAGTAGACACGTAAACTAGTATAAAATGGAACAAGTAGATACACACGTCCTATGTGACATAATACATGTATGACGCCACGTATGACATAATATTGTCATGTAGGATGCCATAGGGCGAATGTGTTTATTTGTTCAATTTTATACAAGTTTAAGTGTCTACTTTTGCACACTCAAAATTGGAGGGAGTATGTTGAAGTCAAGTTAAAAGGCATATTTATGTATTATGCCTATATTTTATCATTCAATTATATATAAGATCAAGACTTAATAATCAGAAACACACCTAGTGTATCTCGATTTAACGAATTTCATACTTGAACTATCAAGAGTGTGAGTTTTCTACTTGAACTATCACCAATTTATTATCAGAACATATCTCAATATGCAACTATCAATTGTTCACTTTTTCTACCTAAACTATGTTGATATATCATGTAGAAAAAGTAAACAATTGATAGTTAAGATGTGTTTTGATATTAATTCAGATAGAAAAGTCACAAGTATGAAATTCGAAAAATCGAACCTTCATGCTAAGAGCAAGTTAGAAAATACCTTAAACCATAGTACACCCCATGCCATGAGTATCAATGTTTTATAACCCCTTGTTTTTTCAATTGGTGGTTCCTCTGTGGAAAATTTGAATGGTGATCCAACACTTGCTGCAAAATGCAATATGGTCTTTCCATGATGATCAATATCAACAAGCAACCTATCTATGTGTGATACATTTTTCATAATGTAATCAAATATGAGCCTATTTTTTTGTTCTACTACAATATGTAGTATATTTTTTCCCTCTTCATCTATGGTTTCTATTGTTTGAGGGTAATTTTGTATAATTTCAATGATTAACTCATTTATACCAAGTTTTGTTGCTTGTATTAGTGGATTTTCTACACAATTATTTGCATAGAAATTCCAATCTTCCTCCTTAATCAATATTCTTGCTAATGTTAATGCAAGAATATGCTTTTGCTTTTCATCATCCATTACTCCCAACCATGCATTACCTACAAAAGCCAATGGTCAAAAACATATCTCAATATATTATTATGCAGGAATTAGTAATACAGAAATTGTAATTCGGGAATTAATAGTCCAGAAAAAACCTCAGGACGCCAGACATTTATATAGCAGCACTTATATTATAAGTAAAAAACAATTGTCACAATTTTTTTCATTTGTTGCAATGTACCATCCTTGTATGTAGTTTTCATGGAGATACCTTACCTAATAGGAAATTAACAAATGAAGATCTTTTTCTTTTAATGAGAACATGATCAATAGTAGTAGTCTCTGGATCCTCCAAGTTGTAATTAGGTTTTGACTCTTCATACATTGCTGGTATGCCTGTTCCATTCTCAAAAGAAGAAACAAATTAATTTATATAGTTTTACTTATAGTCTGTTTGATCAAATTTTTGAAATATATTTTTAGAAATACTTCTCAAAAGTCTGTTACTTCTTTCTCATGAAGTCAAATGATGTCACGTATATCGAGATGCGTAATAGTTATGAAAAAAAACTTACAAAAATACATAAAATAATGTCACATATATCGAGACAGATAGCGTAATAATTATGAAAAAATACTTACAGAAATATATAAAGGTTTCAAGGGCTTGCATAGGAAGAAAAGGGGCAGTCCCCATTTGTTGGAGTGCATAAATTGATCCACTCTTAAAAGACAAATGCTTTGTGGCCAATACATTTAATGCACTCCAACCCTTTTTGTCCTGTTTTCTTGCTAATTCTGGATACATTTTCAATAATTGTATTGCAAAGTCTGGTCCTCATGCAAAATAAAATCATAGGTTAAAAATTATATTTACACGATATCAGAGCCAGATTTATGAAGTTAAACTAAAACAGTATATCACTTACAGTAACACTCGTGAGCTACGGCTGCATGAAGTACGTTGCTTCCATCGTTCCTCGTCATAGTAAATTCATCACACAAATTATTATCAGCTAGAAAAGTAAACACTTCTTTTTCTCCATGCGCAGCTGCAACATAAATTGGTGTCTCTCCCTTACTATTCCTCTCGAATAAAATTTCGCTATCCAAACTCACCATCACCTTCACAATTTCTAATCGTCCAAACCTAGCAGCTTCGTGCAAAGCTGTATTTCCATCTTTATTTTGAATCTTTAAATCTTGACCACTTATTGGTCGTTCCTCGATAAGTAATTTTAGCGCACTCACATTTCCATGAATGGCGATAAAATGGAGAATCGTGTCACCACGATTATCGATTGGGAAAACAACTTCTTCTCTCCAAAAATCGCGTAAAATTTCGATCGATTTTGTATCGTTACACTTAGTTGCAGTGTAAGCTGCAGATTCACGATGACTTATTGAATTGGTGCGATTTCTTCCCATTATAGCTAACTTGTTAGTAGTAAAATATTTTAATGAGGAATAAATACTATATTTGGGTTAAACATAAATAAGCATTGTCATTATGGAATAAAATATTAATTCTTTTACAAGCAAAATTCGGAATATTATTTGCTTTAAATATTAATATCTTCTAATTGAAATTTGGAACAACATTAAGTGTAGGGCAAGACGATTCCCTCCCTGTGATAAACATGGACGACCATGTTTCAATTTACGTGACACATATAAAATTTCAAAAGTTAATTAAATATTTATGTCTTTCAACTATTTTAAATTGTTAATTATTGTAATTATAGTGTTTTTTTTCATTTTCAAATAATATATGTTACTAATTTTTTTCCCCCAATTTGTGAGACACTAATAAATTTTTGAGAGAATCATTTTTTTTTATGTCTTTTCAAATATTTTAAGTTGTTTATTATTGTGAGTTTTTGCCACAAGTTTTTTTTATATTGAATGAACTAAGTCTATTTTTCACATCAAAATAGATTTGAATTCATTTCGAGTTGTCTATTACAAAATGCACTCATCTTGTAAGGAGGTTGGTAGAGCAATATAGAGAGAAAAAGACTTACATATGATGTTCATTAACTTAGAGATACACTGAAGGAAACACACTAAATCATGACAAAAAGATTTCAGATACATAGAATAATATACTCATATACATGATAGAAAATAACTCATATATATTTAATAAAAAATACATATACATTTAATAAATAAATCAGATACATGAAATAATCTGACTAGATACATATATGACATCACCATCTCACATACACTAAATGAAAAATACTACATACCATCTCATTACAAAGCTTTTCTATACTCTTTTTTTTTGTCTTTCCTCACTCTTCACAGAAAAAAACAATACATTAATTATTTTACAAGCAAGATTCAGAATATTATTTGCTTTAAAATATTAATATCTTATCTTTGAAAAATGGAATAAATATTAAAGCATAGTGCAAGACAACTCCCTCCATGTGATACGCATGTCCGGCTAGAGGGGAGCCACTGAGGCCCCGCAAAATTGTTTAGAATCACAACATAATCACATAAGTGAAGATAAAGTCTAGAAAAATATAAAAATTTACACAAAAACGTATTCCTATTTTATCATGTAGATCGTAGGGAAACTATTTTCAATCAATTGAACCCAAAAATTATTTACTTTATATGTTGTTTGCATATATAGTAAAATTATTAAATCTATAAACTATGAAAGGAAGTAGTTGAGATGACATTGAGGAGGAGTATGTCTATTTTTGAGAATCGGTTCGAACTCATGTCAAAGTGTTCTACTACAAAAGACATTCACCTTGTAAGCAAACTGTGGAGCAATATAAGAAAGGAAAAAGAGATTTACACATGAAATTCATTAACTTAGAGATCGTTTATATGACAAAGTTCCAAGAAAGATTTTATCAGCATACACTAATTAAGGCAATTAATTAAAGGAAAAAGGACAAATATACCCCCGAACTATCGTAAATGGTATAAAAATACCCTTCGTCATACTCTTTGGACATTGGTGCCCCTGCCATCCAAAAACTAGAGCGTATATACCCTTTATACTAACGGACATACACGTATCATAATCTTATCCATCGATCCGACATTTATCGACGGATAAGATTGCACCACGTGTCCCTATTTAGTCTTCCGTTAGAGTGAAGGGCATATATGCTCTAGTTTTTAGATAGTTGGGGCACCAATGTCCCAAAAGTATGACGGAGGATATCTGCATACCATTTACGATAGTTCGGAGGTATATTTTTCCTTTTTCCCATTAATTAAAGATAAAAGCGATATTGGCATCAATATCCGAATAATTAAAGAAAGTTGGATGAGACTTATAGCAATTCCAAGTAGTGGTCGGGTTGCACTAGGGAGTAGGAATCAACCCTTAGTCTATTTTTATTTGTCTTGGTGATCGATGAAATGACGCAAAATCATATTCAACGAAAGGTGTCATGGTACATATGTTATTTGGGGATGACCTAGTTCTAATTGACGAGATTTATGATGGAGTTAGAATTATATTGAAGGTGTGAGACAAATCTTAAAGTCTAAATTAGGTTCAAATTGAACATGTGATAACAAGGGTATAAATAGACTCTTTTTTTTAATGTAACATATATTTACTCTAAATCATATAATTTGAACCTTTTCCTTTAATTATTATTTCTGTTAGGATTTTACAAATCTTTTTGTTGAATTAGATGTTACATATTATTTCGTGCAAAGCCGTATTTTCATCTTTATTTTGAAGCTTTAAATCTTGACCACTTATTGGTTGTTCCTCGATAAGTAATTTTTAGCGCACTCACATTGCCATGAATGGCTATACAATGGAGAATCGCGTCACCACGATTATCTATTGAGGAAACAACTTCTTCTCTCCAAAAATCGCGTAAAAGCTCGATCGATTTTGGATCGTTACACTGCAGATTCACGATGACTTATTGAATTGGTGCGATTTCTTCCCATTATAGCTAACTTGTTAGTAGTAAAATATTTTAATGAGGAATAAAATACTATATTTGGGTTAAACATAAATAAGTATTGTCATTATGGAATAAAATATTAATCCTTTTACAAGCAAAATTCAGAATATTATTTGCTTTAAATATTAATATCTTCTATTTGAAATTTGGAACAACATTAAGTGTAGTGCAAGACTACTCCCTCGGTGTGATATGCATGATCCGCTAACTCATGTTTCAATTTACATGACATATATAAAATTTCAAAAGTCAATCAAATTTTTATGTCTTTCAATTATTTTAAATTGTTAATTATTGTAATTATAGTGTTTTTTCGTCATTTTCAAATAATATATGTTATTATTTTATTTTTTCAATTTATGTGACACTAATAAAATTTTGAGAGTCAATCAAATTTTTTTAAGTCTTTTCAAATATTTTAAGTTGTTTATTATCGTGAGTTTTTGCCACAAGTTTTTTATATTGAATGAACTAAGTCTATTTTTCACATCAAAATAGATTTGAATTCATTTCGAGATGTCTATTACAAAATGCATTCATCTTGTAAGGAGGTTAGTAGAACAATATAGAGACAGAAAGAGACTTACATATGATATTCATCAACTTAGAGATACATGGAAGGAAACACACTAGATCATGACAGATAGATCTCAGATACATACAATAACATACTCAGATACATGGTAGAAAACAATTCATATATGTTTAATAAAAAATACATGTACATTTAATAAATAAATCAGATACATGGGATAGCGTGACCAAATACATATACATATGGCATTACCATCTCACATACACTAAATGAAAAATACTACGTACCATCTCATTACAAAGCTTTTCTATGCTCTTTTTTGTCTTTCCTCACTCTTCACGGAAAAACAATACATTAATTATTTTAGGCATAATGCATAAACATAACCTTTAAATTGGTGGCAGCTGGCATCTATGACCTTTAACTTTGGGTGTGCACAAGTAGGCACTTAAACTTATATAAAATTGAACAAATAGACACATTCGTCCTACATGGTACCCTACATGACAATTTTGTGTCCTACGTGGCATCCTACGTGTATTATGTCATGTAGGACACATTTGTCTACTTATTCAATTTTATACAAGTTTAAGTGTCTACTTATGCACACTCAAAGTTTGAGGTCATAGTTATTCACTGAATCTAAGTTAAAGAGTCATGTTTAAGTAAGCAAAATTTAGAATATTATTTGCTTTAAAATATTAATATCTTATCTTTGAAATTTGGAATAACTATTAAAGTATAGTGCAAGACAACTCCCTCCATGTGATACGCATGTCCGGCTAGAAGGGAGCCACTAAGGCCCCGCAAAATTGTTTAGAAGCACAACATAATCACATAAGTGGAGACTGAAGTCTAGAAAAATATAAAAATTTACACAAAAATGCTTTCTTATTTTATCATGTAGATCGTAGAGAAACTATTTTCAATCAATTGAACCCAAAAATTATTTACTTTATATGTTGTTTGCATATAGTAAAATTATTAAAACTATAAACTGTGAAAGGAAGTAGTTGAGATGAGATTCACGAGAAGTATGCCTATTTTTGAGAACCGGTTTGAATTCATGTCAAAGTGTTCTACTATAAAAGACATTCATCTGTGGAGCAATATACAGAAAGGAAGAGAGACTTACACATGAAATTCATTAACTTAGAGATCGCTTATATGACAAAGTCCCAAGAAAGATTTTATCATGTCTGGATCGGATTTTTTTTTCAATTTCGAAAATCAACTAACGAAAAAATTCATAGCCCATGTAACTCACAGCCTCCCTCTCACCCAAATAAATGAAATGGGATGAATCAAATCAATAAGCTTTTTGATTGATTCAGGGCGCAGCGCATACACTAATTAAGGCAATTAATTAAAGACAAAATGATATTGACAACAAGACCCGAATAATTAAAGAAAGTTGGATGAGACTTATAGCAATTCCAAGTAGTGGTCGAGTTGCACCAGGGAGTAGGAATCAACCCTTAGTCTATTTTTATTTGTCTTGGTAATCGATGAAATGACATAAAATCATATTCAACGAAAGGTGTCATGGTGCATATGTTATTTGGGGATGACATAATTCTAAATGACGAGATTTATGATGGAGTTAACGCTATATTGAAGGTGTGAGATAAATCTTAGAGTCTAAATTAGGATTCAGATTGAACATGAGATGATAAGAGTAGAAATAGACTCTTTTTTTAATGTAACATATATTTACTCTAAATCATATAATTTGAACCTTTTCCTTTAAATATTATTTCTGTTAGGACTCTACAAATCTTTTTGTTGAATTAGAGGTTACATATAGTATAAAATATTAGTATTTATATATTATATATACCACGTTTTCATATTCCTAACAGAAAAATTGAAATGTCGACTACTACTTGGTAGGTTCTCAAATATATATATATATAAAAAAAAAAAAGGGTTACGCGGTAGGTGAC